CCCTCTTTCACTTGCTCTCAGGAATTTCTTTACAGCCAGGGAAAGCTAACACAGATGGAAAAAGAGGTATATACAAATACCAATAAAAGAAAGCAGATTTGGAAACTGCAATATTTGGAAAAAACAGTTTAAAAATAGACTAAAGAATTAACTAAGACAAAGAATCACATCCTATAGGAGACGTGATCTATTATGAAACTACGAATCAAGAGTTTTTCTGTATCTCACATTATAACTTTGACATATTTTTATTTGTGAAGATGATTTTGGTTTAAAGCTACAGAAAATACAATTCATCTGGATGTAAATAATTAAGGGAATTTATTAGACCACAACTCTGTAAACACAAAGCAGCTTTCAGGTGAGGCCTGATCCAGTTGCCTAGCAATGTTGCCAAAGATTCATTTGCCTTCTTTTTCTCATCTTTGCTTTCAGGGCATTTATTTTGCCTTATATAGTTTCTCCTTATAGCCAAAGGATGGTTATTAGTAGAATCACCCCAAGGCATAGCTGAGTGAAGTTTCCAAATTTCAAGGGCAAATGACAAGATAATATTGTCTTTTAAACAGGAAAAATAAGTTGTGGTGTGTGGTGGTTTTAGAGGTGTGGCCTTAACTTCTTTCATATTCTTCTTTTCAAGAGGCAGAGCTTAATTTTTCTTTCCTTGAGCATGAGCTGAACATAATGACCTTGCATAATAGCCATGTAAGTTAACATGGAAGCTCTATCAGCTTCCTCCTTGCTGAGACAAGATCCCTGACATACACAATTTAAAGAAGAGAAGGTTTATTTTTGCTCATGGTTTGAGAGGGTTCAGTCCAAGGCAGAAACATCATGGTGAAAGGGTGTAGAGGAGGAAAAGTGCTCCACTCATGGAATCTAGGAATCAGAGTCTGGAAAGAGCCAGAGAGGAGCGGGTGAGGGACCAGATACAGTCCCCAAGGTCACCTGTGACCCACCCTGACAGATGTGGAAATGTACTTTACTAATGTCCTAGGCATCTTTCAAACCAACCAAGTTGACATTCTTGATGAACCATCACAGAAGCAGATTTACCCACCCTATTCCATAGCTGAACAACTTCACACAGCCATCTAGATAATCAGTTTCCACCTTTCTGACTCACTGCAACTGTGAGATAATTAGTATCTGCTGCTTTCTGCTGCTCACTTTGGGGGTAATTTGTTCTGTAGCAATGGAGAGCAAATATAATACGTGATATGAGAAGGAAAACTTGTTCTCCGGACTTTCCGTGTGCATACTTCATTCCACAAGATTGAGAGGGACATCTGCAATCCTCAGAGGGAAAGAAAGTATGATCCACGCATTTTAGAACTAGCTTGATTATTCATGTACATATGAAACACAGAAGCATTCTCAAGAAAAGAAAAACTCAAGGCAGATAGCAGCCATGATCCCTTTTTTAAAAAATAACCTGGGATACTCAGGAGGCGGATACAAAATGTTCAGATGTTCAAGGCCAGCCAGGGCAACTTAGTGAGACCCTGTCTCAAAATATAAAGGGAGGGTGTGATGGACTGAGGACATAGTTCAGTGCTCTGAGTTCAATCCCCAGTACCACCAAAGAAACAAAAAGCCCCTGTAATAACGCAAACCAAACAAGGAAGGGGGTGATTGAAATATTTAAATTCATGAATGAAAAAGGCATAGGAAGAAGGTTGGTGTTTGACATCAAATCTCCTTAAATACCCATTTATAAGAGGACAAATTGTGTGGTTACCAAGCAGAATTCATGGTAACCAAGGAGAATACAAACGTCACAGAGGCTGACAATGTAAAAATAGTAATAAAATTTATGAAATTCATGAAATTCATGAATGAGAAGGAGAGATAGGAAAACACGTAAGTGTTGTAACATCTTCATTTTTCTTCACCAGGAAATAAAAACATAGAGCTAAAGGTTGAAATCATTAGCAATATAATGACGTCAATTTCATTTCATTTCATGATTTTTCTTTAAAGGGCTATTTAAGGAATTAATCTTTTCTGGAAGAATGTCTGGGAAATCTAAATTTAAAAACTCCTATAGTTTCATTTCAGCTTTTTCCCTTAAAATTTCATTTACTTTTGTTTTTACAATGAGCATGACTCTATTTTGTAAAATGATATCTCTATACATCCTACTCTCTGTTTAAATGCTTCCAATAATGGTTAGAATGATGATCATTTTACACTAGCCATAAACAGGCTTTGCTAGTCTTTGGGATGGTCATTATCTTATAGTTTGAGGTGTCCTTGCTACTTTATGTGTTTTGTTTGAGTTTTTTGGGAAAAAAATGACCATGTTTGTGTGTGCGCGTGCACGAGCGTGTGTGTGTGTGTGTGTGTGTGTGTGTGTGTCTGCAAAATGAACACTTTATAAAAGGAGACAGAGATGAAGGCAAGTAAGTCCAACTTAAGGAGTAAGAAAAAATGGAAAATGACCGACTCCAGGAAAATGAAACAAAGGAACAAAGGTAAAAGCGGAAATTTATGACTTAGAAAACAAAACGAATGAATTTGGTCAACAAATGAAATCTTTCCGTGAAGGTAAATAGAGCACAGTAAAGGCTGGTAAAGAGGTTAAGAGACAAGAGAGAAACGACTTGGAAGCAGAAAGAGGACTTCCCTCTTGCTCCGTTTTCCTTTTTTCCTCAGTTTCCCCAAACTGTGGCCCTTCCTCAGGCCAGCAGGGGAGCTGCCTCTTGGACGCCTGCATTTGCCGGCTCACGTTCGCTTTTGTTTCCCGGAGTGTTTCCGCACAGCAGGTCACGTGTCTCAGCCATCTGGCACTGCTCACTTCAGCGGCACTAATTCTCCCTCACCTCTGCCCACTTTTGGGTCTTCCAGCATTTTGCCAAATGCACTAAGCTGTGCCCTGCTTCTCTGGTTCAGCCACGGGCCCTCCTTCTGCCTGGTGCCCTCTTCCCACTCCTACCACCTGGGCTGATTTTCCTTCAGTCCTTCAGCCACGGCTGAAGTTATTTATTCGTCTCTTTAACACTATTTCCCCATTCAAGGTCCTTGTTTTTGAGCTCCACCTCCTGCAGACAGGCGCTACCATTCATTGCTTATTTCCTGAGGCTTCCCTCATATCTGTTCCCTAAGGGCCTGTTTGGAAGGGACTACGCAGACTCAGGCAGGGATAGCAGGGTGGGGAGTCCCTGAAGACCTGGTCTGTGGCCTGCCTTCCTGGTCTGGGGCTCTCTGGATAAGCAAAGTAGGAAGGGAAGGCAGTTGCAACACTGGCCTGTCGTGTGGGGACAGGAAGGGGAGCAAATTAGGGCAATCTATGTAACCTACGTGAGGCACTCTTGCAGTAGGTCTGTACAGCTTGCCAACCATGTGCCTGGCACTGTGCTAGACTCTGGGCCCAGAGCTAGCAATCAGCGATTAAGCACTCACGTTGTAGTGATGATACTGGGTAAACAAGAACCAGGTTGCCCAGCAATCGTAGGAGATCGTTGAAAGTAGCAATGCGTAGGGCATCAAGAAACTAGCATGTGCAAGATGATGGGGCTCGGGCTGCTCACACTCAGCACATAGCAAAAGGCTATTCAAGAAGGTAACATTCAGCAGGGAGTGGTGGTGCACGCCTGTAATCCCAGCACTCAGGAGGCTGGGGAAGAAGGATTGTTGCGAGTTCGAGACCAGCCTGGGCTATAAAGTGAGCTCAAGGCCAGCCTGAACTGCATAGCGAGACACTGTCTCCAAAAGACAAAAAAAAGAAAGAAAGAAAGAAAAAGTAAATTCGTGCGAGAGCTGACTGAGGAGCCACGCTTGTGGAATGGCCCTTGGTCAGTGTGGTCAGCCTAACAAGCGAGGCCAGGAAGCCAGTAAATCACTGAAGTTCGCTCCTCACCGTCCTGGAGGCTGAGAGTTCAAGACCAGGGTGCCACCTGGTGGGATGGCAGTGAGGGATTCCTCCCGGGTCAGACGGCAGCTGTCACCGTGTCGCTTTCCCCCTTGACCCATCTAGACGGGCCGGTCCCCAGGGGCGGCTACAGGACGCTGCGCAGGAGGAAACCGAGGAAGAGCAACCCACTGCGTTATGGGAAATGCGATGTTTTATTTAGCTTGCGTGGTGCAAACTTTGAAAACTGCAGATCTTTCCTAAAGATGGTTCTACCCACACTTTCCAGATAAAATCGACAATCTGTCCTCCGTGGAGAATGAGACTGTATACTGGAGATTATCAGGAGTGGAAGGTGCAGCACAGAGGCCACCTTTGGGCGGCATCAGAGACTGGCAGGTCACGCTCACAACATTGCGAAGACAGAAGCTTGACACCTGTCCCTCCTCTGCCAAAGCATAATGACTTCTATGCAGTGCGTCCGCAGCTATCTGGTTCGGGGCGGGGCGGCGCCGGGGGCGGGGCGGCGCCGGGGG